TGCAGAAGACAACACTTTCAAAGGGTCTTGAATAGCAAGTTTTATCTCTTATTTTTATGGGCTTTCCTGTATGTCTGATGAGTTTTCACCTTCAGAAAGAGAAGCACATCAAAAGAGAGGCAGAGCAGTTCAATGTGTAAAATAGGCACATTTTTATTTAATAAAAGGAAAGCAGCAAGGGAGAGATGGGCACAGAAGAGCAGCCCCTAGAGCTCTGGTAGCCTCTCAGGTCATGTGAAATAACTGGGGCATTAGGATTTCCGCAGTTGTTGAGTGAAGGAGGCCAAAGTGGCCATGCCCATTTCTAGTTAGGGCTCAGATAGGAGAGGGTGCGTTAGGAACAGCCCTTTTCCATGTTCTGTCCATTGATCAGGTTCCACCTTCTTCGTGCTGTGGCCCTTGTGGTGGGGCAGGCTTCTTTGCTGTGTCTTTGTCAGCAGCGAAATACTAAATAACACCCATATTTAAATTATTTAATAATAAGGCTTGACTTATCAGCCTGCTGAGAAGAGCAAGAGCAGTTCACGTCTTCCTTGGACTGCAGACGTTACTGTGACACAATCAGACATCCTCAGTTTGCCTCTCTGGTTGGCTTCTCAACGAATGTAGCTACAGGAACACATGAAGCCCCAACTACCACGTAGGTACCATCGTCCCTGCAACCATCCCTGCGTACGGCGGGAGATCCAGGCTTAGCTGCTGGGTGCAGCCCACACGTGCGCTCGGGCTGATGCCCTCCCATCTCCTAGAGAGGGATTTGCGTTTGCCTCGTGGTTTTAAAGGTATCCTTGCGGCCAGAAGAGTCAGCTCATCTTTTTAGTTAAGTAGAGATTCTTGATGGTGCCGTAGTTTCATTTTTCAAAGGATGGATTTGCTTTCACAGCTGCCACTGTGTAAATGGCAACTCTCACTTTGCCCGGTTTGACCCTTCAGCCCCGAATCTAACTGATAAGCTGTTTTCAACCAAAACGTTCAGCTTTTCAATGGCACATATTGTGAAGTTATACATGAAAAATGAAGAGCCAAATTACCCAAAGGAGATTTTTGCTTTTAAAATATACTTCTAAGCTTTCCAAAATGGAGGTTTTGTTGGACTCGTGGCAGTACTGTAGCACTGTTTCTCCTATTTATGGCTTTATTTTCCTCCTTACTTGAAAGAAAACCAGTTCTCTGCTTCTCTGCACATATTCATACCAAATCGAACTCACTCCTATGCACAGGTCCTTTATATGGGACCAGCCTGATGATAGACACATGGTGACCGTGCGGGTGTCAAATACACAAAACACCATCCATGGGCTGGAGAATTCAGCCTTTAATTTGTAATAAATGAAAACTGGGGTGTTATTCCTGCCTAAAAAATGTTTGGAGATGATGCATGCAGTGGAATCTCCTTGAAGGTCATTACCACGTTGTTCTCCAGACATGTAAGCTGACGTCCCACAGGATGACCCAGCCTTCCCTCCCAGGGTCTGGCCCCCACAGCGAGCTCCCGTATGGGGCTCCAACGCTCTCGCTCCTGTTGGACATACTCCATTCAGAACCCTGTGTTTCTTACTGTCCCAAACATGTCACTGCAGATTGCAAACGTGAACCACCCACGTGAGCCACCCGCATCTAAGTTGAGTTTTGTATTTTTACTTGTGTAACAGCAAAGTATAATTTAATTTTACTGAGCTCTGTGCATATACATACAAAGAAAAATCCTGCCCTGAGGACCTTGTCTTATCCTTATTATGGCCCGTGTGTGGGTTTACCCCTATTGCTCAAGCATTCAAAGTTCAGAATCACCGGAATTAATGTAAATTTGCAGTTGAATCTCCTCTGTTTTCTGAGCCCAGTTGAAACACATCCCAGTAACTAGAGGCTCTTCCCAAAGAACGTCCTGGTGCTGTGCAGAGCAAGCCTGTTCCTGGGGTACAGGGACGCTGTCCCCGGAGCCGCTTCCCACACGTGCCCACAGCTGGGCTCCGGAGCACAGAGAGGTGTTGGGTGACGCTGGTTGTAGTTGTCACTGCATCGCAGGTGGGACAATCAACAGGCCACAGGACCAGCTGGCTGAACAGCCTTTGAGTCGCCCCGTGCTCCTGTTTCTGGAAAGGAATCCAGACAGCAGCCTCATGCTCTAATAGGAGGAGGGAAACCCTGGAACAGGCTGCCCAGGGAGGCTGTGGAGTCTCCTTCTCTGGAGGTCTCCAAACCCACTTGGATGCCGCCCTGTGCCCCGGGCTCTGGGTGTCCCTGCTGGAGCAGAGGGTTGGACTGCATGATCTCTAGAGGTCCTTTCCAACCTCACCCATTCTGTGATTCTGTGAAACAAGGGAAATACTGAAGTCCCCAAGTCACAGTCTGTGAGTCTTAGTGAATATCCCGTGTAAACAGCACTAGGCCGTATTGCCTTCTTGATTTAGTAGGTCTGACTTCTATGTTTTCACACAATGGCCCAAAAGAAATATTATACCCCGGAGGAACTTTGAAATTGTTTGTTTAAATTAACTTTCATTTGGATTTATGCTTAATGAAATCTTCAGAGATGCCGACAGCCCCGCTGTAATGAAATGCTGGATCTTAGAACCAATGAGCGGGGTTGCCAAACTGTAAGGATTCCTCTCTAAACGAGTGGGCTTTCATAATGTTACACTTGGGTGGCACAAGCAGAGTGCTAGATGATTAGTTTATGGTCTAGATCATTGTATTTTTATTACACTCATAAAAACTGTGTTTCTCCTCATTTTCGTAATGGCTTCAATGAGCTTCTATACCTTCTAGAGGCACATTAAATCGTTATGTGATGAAAGTACTGATTTAGTGGGGCTAGTTTTAAAGTAAGATACATGTTTGGAATTCTTATCTTCATCTGATTGCAGACTTTAAAAAAGAGTGGAGCTCTGTTAGAGTGAATGAAATCCATATCATCTTCTTTACATACAGAGAAGATTCCCAGCTGTGGCCTGAAACAAATACAAATGCAAAAGAAAGGGATAAACTGTAAATCTGCGTCTCTATAAAATGAATTATATATCAATTAAAAGCATTTTTCCTGTTTTGTGGTGCTGAGAGCTTTTGACAAGAGAATGGGTGGATTACAGAGGTTTTGATTAAAAATCTTTTAAAGGAACAAAAAGAAGAGAAGAAAGATTATTTTTATGCCTTACATTCAACTGTAATTTGTTTTCCCCTGATTCTCTCCCAAATTATAAATAGCCCTAGTCTGTGCAAACCCTAGACTCATTTCTGTATAGAATTCTAAGCTGCTTTTAGAAGTTATTTTAATTATATTGCATAATGAAAAAGAAGAAAAATATTTTATGTTTCTATATATGCAAGCTGTTCCTAAAAGAGAAGACAACATCATTATCCATGAATGGGGAACCTTTTGATTTGATATGTAATTGAAAAAGAATAATCCTTGTATTGAATGTATCATCTCATCTTTGCGCAGTTTAGACAAAGGCCTTTTTTGTTTACAGAATTTACATGTCAATACAGTTGCTTATAAATATTGCTGTGAAATAAACATAACCCTCCACAAAAAGAGCAGTTTGCTCTTCATTCAGTAATTTTATAGGCTAGCGACAAGACAATGGAAGTTGTATGCAAATATAACATCAATGTACAGCATAATAATAACAGTTTTTAGTGATTATGCGGCGTGGTGTTAATTCCTAGGAGGCTTTATGTTCTGCTGCGTTTGAAACAGGGATTTGCCCGAGCAAATTCTGCCTGTTCTGCTGCTGGGGGGCAAACAGCCCCAAGTCTGGGGGCTGACGAGGGGGCCTTGGGTTCCTGCAGTGATCAGTGGAGGGGTTAAATTATGAAGAGGTCGTGCTGGTAGCAACGATGAGCATGGGTTCTGCTCTGCTCCTCTGTGCTCTGGGAGCACTGGGTGCCTTGAAATGGTTCAGCAGGAGACAGAGAGCGGGAAAGGAAGGGAGGAAGGGGAGAGGAGAGGAGAGGAGAGGAGAGGAGAGGAGAGGAGAGGACAGGAGAGGAAAGGAAAGGAAAGGAAAGGAAAGGAAAGGAGAGGAAAGGAGAGGAAAGGAGAGGAAAGGAGAGGAGAGGAGAGGAGAGGAGAGGAGAGGAGAGGAGAGGAGAGGAGAGGAGAGGAGAGGAGAGGAGAGGAGAGGAGAGGAGGAAAATTAAAAAATGAAAGCAGATGAAGAAAAGCAAAAGAAAAAAAAAAAGGAAAGAGGAAGGAAAGAAAGAAGTAATGCACATCTGCAAAACCTTGTGCAAAACCTTTCCAAAAATGTATTTAATTTACATATGTTTACAAAAATGTATTTACAAAATTTACAAAAATACATTTACAAAATGTACAGCATACAAAATGTATTTTTGTTAATTACGAAATGTATTTTTGGAAGGAAGCTTTCTGCATCAGAAATGTCTCTGGATGGATGGTTTCTGTTTGGGTTTCCTTCTGCCCTTCCCTTCGCACTGCTGTTTGGATGCTACTTTTACGGCTCTTCCAGGTACTTCAGTGGTTTCAGTGGTTGAGCAGCTTTTGCTGCCTGGCAAACTGCAACAAGAAGGCGGCTGAGGATACGGCATGAACTCCATGCTACTACTCTAGTGGGTCAATATATTGTTTAGTGGGCCAATATATTGCTAACTATATGTGCCCATGCTGTTTTAGTGTTAAAATCGACGAGCGAGTAGTTGTGTCTTTCGAAAGCCTTGTTCGGTGTTTCCTTTGTGGACCTGGAAGTTTGAAAGAAAAGCAGCTGAACACGCTGCTCGAGCGAGGGGAGATTTTGTAAGAGACATGTATTGAATTCGTTGGAAATTCTTTAATATTTCATGGAAGCATGCAAAATATGGTGCCAGTTTATTCAGGGATTTGAAAGCAGCTGCAGAGTAAAAGTGTCTAATGAAAACGAAATAAATTTCCTGTGAATGGAATAAATTTTGATTGTGTGTCTGAGTGGAGTAATTATACATGTCACGCAGTAATTAGGCAGTCACAATGTGGCCACGGTGTCTTTCTTTGTCTGCAGATGGTCTGGGAGAACGGCTGTGTCGTTATTGTCATGCTGACACCCCTCACCGAAAATGGCATCAAGCAGTGCTACCACTATTGGCCAGATGAAGGGTCAAATCTCTACCACATCTACGAGGTACTTAAGCAAAATCTCTGCTTGTCCGTGTCACCGTAAGTGCGTGGGTTGATTTATATAGGGCAAAACACCATTTAATCCGACCTAACCTGTGAAGTGAACTGAGGTCTCTTGAATACTCTCCGTGTAGCTCTGAGGCTTGGTAGATTTGCAAGGAAACGTGGCATTATTTTAGCAGCAAGATAGTTTGCACTGGATTATTCCTAGTAAATAGTGAGCCACGTGTTACAGTGAAAAAAGGAGAGACAGTAACTTTCTCTAAAATTGCTGGGCTAGTGAGGCAGTTATTTATACTTTGTAGGAAAATGATATGTTTATGGCTAGTGAATTTAATACTAGCAAAGCTGCATCTATATGTTTATTCAAAGACTTTGTATGTAGTTTTCATAATTGGTGTTACTGATTTTTTACCTTATCAAACCACACAGTTTTGTTGAAATACAGCATTGATTGTGGCTGTTGTGTTTTTCCAGTTGTCTGGAAAAGCTGAGTAGATGAAGAAAAAAATACAAGTGGCCCAATATGAAGAAAAATTAAACGTGAAGAATTATAGCTAGTTAGATGAACATATGACTGTGCACATGACCTGCATGTTTTATGTTTAGTTTTCTACATAATACAAGAAATTGACTTTAATTTCTCACGTGATTTGAGTTAGGGAATTTGAAGGCCACTCGAGCTGTCCTGAGCAGGGCACTGAGCCTGGGCACTTCCAGGGGAAGGTGACTGGCAGCTTAACATATAATTTACTGATTTTCTAGTTTGCAGTAAAACTGTCAAGAATTCTTAAAATGTTTTTCAGTCAAATAGCAGTGGCACCTAAACCCTTCCTGAAAACTGCAGCGATTGCTAAATAACAAATTGTGCTTCTAGCCTGTTTGCTAATAAAAAATAAAGCTTTGGTGCAATTCCTTCCTTCTAGACATCCATTTGGCTTTGAAGATACCGCTTGCACCTGCAGTTCCTGACTTGCCTTTGCTCCTGCCTGTGTGCTCTAGGTGAACCTGGTCTCCGAGCACATCTGGTGCGAGGATTTCCTCGTGAGGAGCTTCTACCTGAAGAACCTGCAGACCAACGAGACGCGCACAGTGACGCAGTTCCACTTCCTTAGCTGGAATGACCAGAAGGTTCCCGCTTCCACCAGATCCCTTCTGGATTTTCGCAGGTAACACACAAAGTATAACAGTTTATTTCCCATAGCAGCAGTCTGGGGAACCGAAGAAGCTGTACGTCCATCTGTCGAGTTGCCCTTTACCCTTTCTGTTCTGAAAGGGGGTCCCTCGGCCTGGGTACCATGGTGAGACAGTCGCAGCAAAACCGGGGAGCAGGCTGCACTGTGTCAGTTGATTTTTCATGTTGTCTCCCCAAAATCTGTTGCCTGGTTTTGTGGTACACCCGTTTCCCATCTAGAAATGGATGCATTTCTTCCCTTTGTACAATTTTTCTGTGCCTCTCTGTTTCTCTGTTCTAACAATATTTCCCTGCTCTGCAACTCTGAGGCCTGCTGTGTGGCTCCTCGACGGTCCTTGTTGCAGGAACCTCACAGATAAATTCTGTGGTATGAACCCACCAAAGGAAAACCCAATCGCTGTTGGGTCATACAGCAGCACCGGCTTTCCAGGGGCAGTGCTTGCTCACAGCGATCCCACCATCAGGTCTCTCGACTTTCTGTGGGTGAACGATGGCACAAATATGAGGAAAATAGCCATGAAGACCTTTAAAAGATAAATACACAAAGGCCAAAAAAAACCCAAAAAAAGCGTGAAAATCCCTGCCACCTCCTAATGTTTGCTGTGTTTATCTACAATTTAATTTGAAAATCAAAGCTGCTCCAGATAAATCTTGGCGCGCAGTGACGTCCATGCGATGGAGGCTGCGCCGCGAGCAGCGCGTGGGCCTTGACGTGCGGCCTGGGCAGCGGCCTCCGGGGGCGCCGGCCTCTTACCCGCCACCCCCGCGGGGGCGAAAGGGGGCTCAGTGCCCCACAGGCCCCAACCTGGGCTTCGCTCAGCGCTCGTAGCCCCGGCTGCTGCTGCTGAGGCTGTGCGGAGGCACCGGGTCTGCATCCAGCGGGAAGCAGCTGCGCACCTGGCTGGGGGCAAAAGGCAGCCCTTAAAATTCAGGCCTGGATGCCATGCCTCATCCCTCAGTATTCTCTGCATACTACGAGGATTTCAAAGCAGGGGGAAATCTCCCCCACTGCAGGTCAAGTCACGGAGTGCAGCCACTGAATCCCTATGGACGGTGGCTAGGTAAGAGTATAAGGCTCCGTGTGGCAGTGCAGAGGAAATAAGGGAGGAAGGAAGCACTGGCGTTAAGGATGGAGTTGTAATTGAATTTTAAAGGTTTTCATCTCTGGGTTCAAATGCAGACTTCCATGGGATTGTCACAGGTGGATTTTTCCTTTGTTTACGGTGCTGCAGAGCTGCGTGTCACGGGTTTCACTCGGGGAAGCTCGGATGGGGCTCCCCTAAGCCAGGAAGGTCTGCGGCGCTGCTCACACACAGCATCCACACTCTCTCTCTGCAAATTGGGGGGAAATCTGCTCTTCACTGTAAGAAGCAGCCTCCACAGGCAGTTCCCTCCATGTGCAGAGCACCTCATGGGTGTCAGCAGGAGTCCATGCGGGGGCTGCGGGACTGGGTGTCCTCAGCACCTGGAAACAACAGGCTAGGGCTTCGGTCATCCAATGCTGCTGTTTCCCTTTTCTTTTTAACAACAGAAACTAATGCACTGTTGCTGAAATAATGTGTTTGGAATTCCTTTGTAGAATAAATGTTTTGCACCTGAAGCTTCCAATTTAAAGTACAAGCTCTGCTGAATTACAACAACCGAGTTCTAAAGCCCCGAGAATAGATCCTGGCAGAGTACTACCATGCTCGTAGTAAGGTAGTGCTAGGAAGGGGCTGCTCTCATTTCTTTTAATATCTATGTTTTTATGTGCATTCAGTGTGTTTGTATATATATATATATGGATATGTGTGTATATTTATATATTCACATACATATATGAAATTAAGCATATACATAACCAACCCTCTATTTTTTACAATTCATCGCCAAGAAAAATTGGATTCCCAAAATTACCTTGCCCAGAGTCGGTGGAAATACAGACCTTCCAATTTTGATTAAAGTAAATTTTGCAAGTCTCTTTGAAAGCTCACATTTCTCTTATTATGTATCAGACAATGTTTTAGATGATTTTGCGTTTAGCAGATACTTTAAACCTTGAGGAATAGTCTGTCATACCTCAATAATGTAGGTATACATTGCCAAAAAGAGATTATTCTACATATTTTTTAAAATCTACGTCAAATACAGTCCCTGAGAGCCGAGGCAACTGCAGAAACCACTGGTCAGTCTAACTGCTTCTGGAGTCCTAATTTCATTTTGAACAATAGGCCAATCCTTATTGCTCTGGACTAGCTTGTTAGTCATGCACTGATATGTGTAATTAAATATTTCTTGAGCCCAGAGGGAGCACATTTACACTTTAAAGAGGGACTGCTAAGCTAAAAGATAATTAGCATCACATGTGAGGGCTTTGCTTAAAATATATATCTATTATGCTATCACTTCTTGCTGTGTGCAATGGCATTTACTAACACTGCTCACTTTAAAAACGGACAAATTCTTATTTTGCCAGCTAATTAGCGGTTGCCAGTGTCATTTTTGTGATGTTGCAGCTAGTAATATGAGCCCAGTTGCATAGTCACAAAAGTGATCATTGGAAACTGTGACTCTGCTGCAGGGACAATGTGGGAAGCCCCTTTTCTGAGCCTCTAACGACCTCTGACCTTTGCTTGCTGATGGTTTGCATGATGATTTCTTTTTTCCACCCAATGAGCCAAGGGTTGGTTTGTATTACTAATCATTCTTTCTGAGTTAATTCTTCCTGTATATGTATATATTTCTTATATATATATAATATATATTCTCTTAAACATTCCAGAACTTTGCTTACTGGTGAATTTTCAGCTCACTCTGATTAGGCACCGCTAAGAGGGAACCGCGATGTTTGCTGCACTTGTAGATATTCTCCTAAGCTAGACGTAGGCAAAGCTATGAACGAGCTGGATTGCAACCCTTTTGTTTAAATGTGTTTTCTGAAATGTGTGATAATGAAAATGTTTGAAACGCCTTCAATAAAACTGACAAACATAAGGTGTCTTTCCCTAACATGCGTCTCTGGCTGCGTCTGATTTACTGACAGGCTTAGATCACGTTTTTCCTTGAAGCTGTTTTAGGGCTTCAGGAGGTGGCTAGTCACAACATGCTAATGTCATATTAGTGGAGCCATGCAATGAACAAAGGAACCACACAAGCAGAAAGAGAAATGGTAAATGCCCTTCTGTAGCCATTAGCTTTTATGTAATAGTTGAAATGCAGAAGCTACTCTCCCCTGGAGCACATGAAGCAGGGGAGAGGGGTGACCCGCTGCACGTGAGAGAATGCAGGCTCCTTGTATCAGGTCCTGCTCCAGACATTTCAAATACAATTTACTGCACAGTAGAAAAAACAGGTTTGTTATTGTATATAAAGAATTGATCCTCGGATATGACCTTCAAGAATTAGATACCCCATTTGTGACCCCTGCTGCAGTTCAAGTCCATATCAAATGTGTAAGTTTTACTTGGTAGTGCCTGCATAGACATTTATTTTGGACATGTAAATGTGCCATTCAGTTTCCAACATCAGATACTTCTCAGTGGCTTACCACCTATTTCATGCAAACTCAGTTGTTCTCTTACATTAATTACCTACATACATAGAATAGAAACACAGAAGGTCTCTATGATTCATATATGTGAGGGAAAGAGCAAACATTTGAAAATTCCTGCACTCTGATATCTAAAGGAAGTCATTTCAGGAACTTAGTGTTCTTATGGAGTTTGCTGAGAATCTTAAATGATAAAAAGCAGAATATAAAAGTGTGGATCCTTGGGACGTAACCAGCATCTCCAGGGCCTGTTTGAGCTGAGTCCTGGGTATCCACACAGGCTCCCTTTTGGTCTCTTCAGGCTATACTCTATGCAATATTTAAAAATATATGCATGTTTTCACAGCACAGATGTTACTGAATGGATGAACAGCCAGGAGCTAAATGATTCAGTAGGTTAGTTATACTTTAAAATTCACAGTGCCATAAAACCACAGTTGGGGCATTCCAAGAGCCCCCTGGGTCAGCCAGGATGCTCTTCAAGACTCCTGCCAAACCGGCGGCCACAGGAGCATCTGGCATCCCTGGGTATGGAAGGGTTTTGTAGGAGACCCTCTAGTAAATTGAAATATCTAGCCAATAAATGTCAAGGTTTTGATTCCTCAGATAAATGCTATCCCCTTTTGTTCCTTATTCAGCTTGCCTTGTTAACATGTGGGTGCCCACTATATGTTTTGGGGCATGCAGCGTACTTCCCATGTGAAACACTCCAGAGCGGAAGAGAAGGTTTGGGATTTGGGTTTTGTAGATTTAATAGATTTAAACCAATTTTGTGAGCTGTGTTCAGAGTCTCAGACTGAGTGTCTTGGTTTGCCTTAGTGCTAGTTAATCCTTCATTGTACTACGGTATCAACAAATCTATTTTGTAGCCCTTTGATACTCCTTTGCACTGTGATCTCTGACGAGGAGACTGGAGAAGACGACTGTAGGTGTTCGGACTATGAGACCTTTGCATTTGGTTCAAAGCAGTAAAGCTTGCTGATGGTTTTAGTTATTTTTGCCATGAAGAGAATATGTTTTAGAAATTCATGAGAAGCTTTTCCAAAGGTTTGCTATTTGCTCTTCTGGAGAGAATTTGTTTTACAGATAGGCACCCATTATACAAAATATACTGGATTGCCCATTTTTAGACTTTTAGCTAATAGCTGCAAAGAGGTAGTGTTGGGAATTTCTGCAATAGGCAAACAAGCACACTTTAAAGAAATTACGTATATCAAAATTGCTTGTCGTGTTAGGAAATGATCAAACTGACTATATCTTTAAAGACCCACAATATTTTCTTTTTATTGCTTATTTTTCATGGTTAAAGAAACAGTTACATAATATGTTTAATTAATTTTTTGTGTCTGTTTTATTGCAGAAAAGTAAACAAGTGCTACAGGGGTCGCTCTTGTCCAGTAGTTGTTCACTGCAGGCAAGTACAATTTCTAAAATAGCTTTAGAGACACTTTTATTTGTAATAATATAATATAAATATAATGAAAATGGACAAATTAAAGCCTTAAATGAACCACTAAACATATAGTAAGGTAGACCAAAGGTGCTACATATAATTCATATGTCTCCTAATGATAATTAGTGCTTAGCATCCATTTCCATAATACAATTACCCTTTACTATGATTTTGTAGATGTTGTTTCACAAATTGCAATCCACAGACACTTTTCCAAATATATAGAGCACTTAAATTTCATAAATCTACTTCAAAATTATAGCGGTTCCATACATGGCCAGTTGAGCCTTTTCTTTTCAATAACAGTCTATTCAGCCTTATTTCTTCTTTGTTTGCTTTTAGTGATCATAATAAGAAGAGGGCAATGTCCAGGAATGGAAAGCTACCCAGAGACTGAGTAACCCTTTAAGCATAGATTATCTTTAGGCCTGACAGTTTGACGGATACAAATGAAAGCTATTGAACAGGTCCAGAGAAAACTTGAAAATAATGGTGTTAATAGTTGATTTTGCCATTGGAGGTTGCAAGATACAACAAGAGTGTTGCACTTATCTACCTAAGATACTCTTGGAGATAAGGAACACCAAAAAAATACGAATAAGAAGAAAAGGTATTTAATATGTGGCAGGCTATTTTGCTGCTCACCTATGCCCCACAGTGAGGAGCAGGGGCACCTACACCAGCTGCAAGGAAGCACTGTGCAAAGTGGGGAGGAAAAAGAGAAAAATGACTCCTACCTCCTTCTCTCTAGGAAGGGCTCTAGTAACTGATAAAAAGCCTCTGTCTACAGAGACTTAACAAAAATTACATTTCACAGCCTCCCTGTAAATGGAAAACAACAACACGCTTCACACTGTTGCATTATTTTTCCTTTCATTAACTCTTGTAGACAAATTGAGCTATCAATAAAAATAATGGCTTAATTAATAGAACTGCATGCCAGTCTAATTGGTCGCACATGCACTTTTTTAAAAGTTTTGGGGTGAGAAGGAAAAAAAGAAAAAGGTTTTACTTAAAGTCTTAATTATGTTTGCTAACAGCAGCTCTAAAAGAGCATCATGCTGGCAATTACGAGCTGCTCTCCAAGAGGGACACAAGCTGCATCCAGATGAGGGAGCTTTCCTGTCGCCGGGGGCTTGCTCCCCCCATCTCCCTCATTGACCAGTGCTACCCAAAAGTTAGAGTTCTTCCTCAGGAATTGCATGATAATGTGATTTTTTCTTTGTGGTTGGTTGGTTTTTTTTTTTTTTTTTTTTGGGTTGTTTTTTTTTTGGGGGGTGGGGGGGGGGGGTTTTTTTTGGTGGTTTTTGCTTTTTCCCATTCATTGTGACAGGGGAAGAATTAAAGGAAAGGGTAAAAATTAGAATAAATCACTCATTATTTTTCAAGTTCAGATGATCCACATCCCATTTTCTACAGGAAGAGACTACAGGGCATCGGTATTAGAGTGGTCAGCTTCTAGGCCAGGGCTGTGCATGGATTACCTCTCAGTGCTGTGTTCAGATGCACCCTGCAGGCTCTGGGGATGCTTCTGGGTGCTCTTTCTTGCTCCATTTCTCTTGCAGACAGCTCATTTGGTGCCTCTTCATCTCATACCGAGTGACGATAAGCTCATTATATGTATGCATCAAAATGGCTTCCTGGTGTAAGATTACCAGCTTTTCCACTGCTGCTTAAAATTCTGCATAAACACAGCTCAGCTTAAAAGTCCAAACAGATCCCCGTTACCCTGTGCAGACAAAGGGTTAATCTCACATGAATCTGGCCTTAATTAAGTGCAGGCTTCCTCTCCCCCTCTCAGTACCCTACATTTTCGCCTTGTTCTGCCCTCCCTGCCTCACGCAACGTAGCGTGATGCTGACGGCAGGTACCTCTTTGTTGCTCCTAGATGCACACTGATGGGCTTTCTTTCTCTTTTTCCCTTTCTTTTGGCAGTGACGGAGCAGGAAGAAGTGGAACCTACATTCTAATTGACATGGTTCTCAATAAAATGGCCAAAGGTGAGAATCCAAAGCCTTGTTACGTTCTCCGTCCTGAAAGATGTGGTTGCGTTGCCAAGACAACCCGGGGAGTGATAGTCACAGAAAGCTTCAAATAAATTAGAGGCAAATTGTACCCGTTCCTGCACGTCCTTAAGTTGTGCTTCCTCGCTCATAGTGATTTCAGAATGCACCACCAAAAGCAAACGCTTTATGAATGAGCAGATGTGTTTGTGCTGCCGAGAAGTATTTGTATTTTAACTTTATCATTTAAAATAGGTTTTGCAGTTACACAAAAGAGACACCTTGGGGCTACGTAACTGTTGTTTAGTGGTTGTTGGAGTTGGTTCCTGGGCTGCTTCCTGGCTTTTACACAGTCAGCCATCACCTCCACAGCAACAATAGCCAAATACAGTTACTTATCTTTCCATATTTGTCCCTTGCAACCATAGTGCCTAGAAGGTGAGGCTGCCATGTGGTGGAGGCTGCACAAATTTGCCTTTCAGAAGTAAAAAGACTGTAGTGAATTGGACAGTAATCTGAAAATAAATTGCCTGGTGCCTTGATCCCAGTTCTACTACTGTCTGCACAGTGTTGGACAAGTCTTCTAATTTCTGTGCCTTGGTTTCCTGACCTGCAAGATGTGCTAGTGCTACTTGTGTAGTGGGAAATCATCTTTCTCAGCATAAATATATGTTCTTCCATTACAACAAAACATTACAGTTTCCTGGAGGATGGGGCCTTTATTTCTTACTGACTACTAAATTATTCAGTGTGGGAAATACTGTGAAATAACCTTTATATCTCAGAAAAAAAAAAAACGCCAGCAAAAAAGCAACATTTTAACTACTGGTTGCTGCCTTCACAAAGAAGTGTGTTAACTTCATCATATATTAAAGACATCATGGTCAATTTTATTTGTAGGTTGTGTCTTCCCAAATGCCTTTGGCTATGTTTGTATTGCAGTTGCATAGGACTCCATTTCAAGAGTAAGAGATATCTTGTGTGGTTGGAATTAAGCAAGGAATAATCAGTGGCCTTCCTTCATGCTTACACTGCCTTGATCCGTCATGATATTTTGGCATTTAAAAGAAGAAGGATTCATTGTAATAACATATATTAGTTAATACAGAGAAATAACATTTATAATAATATTTAGTTCTTTGTTTTCTGGATATTACCTAAAATCTTTAGCACACTCCATATTTTACAGTCCTCTGTTGTTGCTTCCTGAGCCTTGCATATCCTCATGCTGGGGCACACAGTGATGTGTCCCTCGGGACACAAGAGTCGAGCGTTTTTTCCTGCCCTTATTCTGGCCGTTAATAAGTTTCATCCAACCTGAACTTCCAGTGATCTACCAAGAAGCTATGTGCCTGTCTTCTCCTCAACACTATCCTGAAAACTTTTCAGTGGAATGATACTAGATTTTTATTCCCCCTGGAAAAGGGGTTTTCATCTGAGATATTTCACATCCTTGGCATACAGCACGTGACAACTGCAGCTTCAAAAATGCAAGCAGTGGTACCCAGTAAAATTAATGTTGACCTGTGGCTCATTTTGGTCTTCAGCAACAGAAAGCTGCAGGACAAGCCAGATTTAAAGTATAGGATTGCAACAAGAAGTAAATGAGAAGTATTTTCCAGCTTCGGGCTCTGAACCACTTAAGGAAGGGTTGACTTTGTTGTAAAAGCACCCAAGAATGCCATTTATTGACTCCATTGTACCATGTAATGTCAAATTCCACTTTAAGTGCGGGCTTAGTGCCTCACAAAGCGCGACAAGTCATGTGAAACTGGCCAGAGAAAGGCGGCGCGGGCCTTCCTGAGAGCGCTCGCCCCCATTTTGTTCTTGACCTGCTCCCCTCTGCCAACGGGGGCCGTGCCGTTGGAAATCCCCCTGACCTGGGGCTTTGGCTGGGGGGTTTAAATGAAAGATCAAAGGGCAGAGCGGGCAGCTCGGCCCTGCTGAGGTGGGCCTTTCCCAGGCTGTCACACTGTGCGGCCGCCAAAGGTTTTGTTCTGGCGGGAGCCGCGGCCCGGCCTGTGCGGCCGGGGCCCTCTTTGTCTGCCCTGAGAAGCTGGAGGCCCCAGGTTGAGGATCCAATGTTCATCAAATGATCAAAGGGGCCTGGAGCCCTGGACATGGAATCTTTCTTTCCATTTCCTTTTCTTAAAAGAATGAATTGCACGAGGAGGCAAAGAATGCCATTTTCCAAAGCTTTTATGTGGAGTGCGAGGACTAACTTTAGAGTCCTTCAGTTCTAAACATAAAAAATGTAAGTGCACTTTCAATCTGGGCCCAGCTGCAAGGCCAGCATCTAGTAACATTTCTTTCAAAAAGGCTTTTAAGGATTAAGGCCTTCAGTCTTTCAAAAAAAAAAGTTTTAAGAATAAACTTAGAATAATTTGAGTTTCTTGTTCCACTGTCTGGTTTATTAGAAAGTAGACAATAATGCAGTTTTAAATCAAAGTAAATAGAGGAGTACTTAGTTTCGGCAGTGGGAAAGTAGAAAGCAATGAGTAAATGCTCTGGCTCTTTAGTGGGTGTTTTAATGGGGTAGATTTAGAGAAGGAGCTCCCTTTTCATGCAATGATTTACTTTCCTACATTCTCCTAGACAGTTAACAGTAAACGCCTTCATCATTAACAGTTTCTTTCTCCTGGTGCCCATTGAATTAATGTTAATACTTACTCTATTAAACAAACCATAAATTCATATTTTCAATTTGTGCCTGTTGCCGAGTCTCCTATTCCTTTGTACATCAACAGCAGCTAACAGGAACCTGTTCCTACAGGGTAAAGATAAGGATATAGAGCTGAGCAGCTCAGGATTTTGCACTTCCCGGGCCTACATTGGCTCTGTGGGGCTAGCGAGGCCACGCTTCTGAGCAGGGCAAAACGAAAAGCAAAAAAACCCAGCTGTCCTTTTCTAATGCGGGTGCTGGAAAGGCCACGAGAGCTGGTGTGGGTCCCTCGAGCTCTGCAGGCACCTTCCCGGCCCCAGCTGCCTTTGTGATTCAGAGGACTTGGGTCTCCGGGGGTCCCCATGGCTCTGCACATCATCACGAAGGGTTTCCTTTTGGGCTGAGTTTTTAATGAATTTGGAGATTCTCTGTGCAGGAAATACAATGGCCTCATCTGTGCACACACTTCAGGTCGCCACATTAAATAATGTTATTGGATGCTAGGGTGGCTAGAGAACAGCGATGGCTCTTGACTGCGGTCATTTGGGATCCTGCTGGGGAAAAGTTTTAAATGTGAGCGTATCCTTTTGTTTAATTGTTCTGGCAACATGAACTATTACTTATCACTTACCTTACTGCTGTCATTTCCATTTGCAGAGGAGCTGTTCAGCCCTGATCAAAGTACTGCAAACCAAGCAGTGTCCGATCTGCCCTTATAGTAGCATGTTTAAATATTGATACTAATTCCTAATAAATGTTAAAGTTTTAAGGCAGTTACCAAAGTCACCTCTGATTTCCCTTGCAGACTGCTTAAGACATGCTTTAGTTTTGAGTGTGGAGTTCAGAAGGTTTAACTCTCTGTGTGTGCTTTGCGATTTGAATGTGGGCTGAAAATGGCAAAGGGTTTAAATTTAAATTGACGTTTTTTCTAGGTAACGGGTTTGCTATATGAGAATGCTTGCTGGACTTTTGACACTGTTTCTCTGAGTTTGATTTCTGCTGAGAATTTTAGTATTCTTGATGAATTAACCAGTTTTATCTTTAGTTACTACAGAGGATAAACTGATTTAGGATAGTTTACCTGATGTTCCTTCATCACTCCAAATTTGCACTATCTCTGAGCTAATCAGCTACTTCCCCTTTTCTTGTGATCTAAAAAAGATTGCAAACTTTCTTCCTTCTCATCTTTTCTATATGATTATTGTAAAGACTAAAAAAGTGATATATTACAAGACATTTTTATTGAGTGCTTCTGGCATGAGAAAGAAAAGAATGAGATTATGGGTCTTCCCACTTTCATTTTTCTCAACTGAGAGGTTTGGATAGTGTAGGTAATAGTTTGATTTTCAGATATTAATCCAGCTAGCAGCTGTTCGGGGTTTGCTGACCAGCCATTTTTTCAGTCTTTGAACTAGCTGGAGGGAGATGAGACAAACCAAAGGCAAACACGAATCCCAAACTGCTTGTAAAGTATTGATTTCAGAACTGCAAAACCCAGGAAAAAAAAATAGCAGATTTGATTTAGCAAAGGCGAACCAGGGGTTTCTTCTCCCAGGTTCAAAAGGGTGATTATAATGGATGAGTAGCGTGCGGTGGCCCGGGCTGGCCGAGGAGGTCCCTCCGCGGGTCCCTTTGCTTGTCCCCACCACGCTATTGTGCGCGGCTCTGGTGAGTCAGCTCCTGAACAGATGCACTCTGTGGCGTGACATTTTAAGGCAAAACAAAAGATCCCTTAATTCGCCTTCTGACTCATCACGATCAAATGATTTGGGCTAATCTGAACCCCTTGCTGAGGTTTTGCTTATGTGCTCTGTGGACTGAGCAATCATAATGAAGTTGTAGGGTGAGCTCCACTCTGAAAGGATTTTATGAAAGCAAATGCTTGCCCATATTGGAGTTAAAATGGATTCAATCTGCTATTTCTAAAGTCCTAACTCAGATACTGAGAAAATTCTCTTTTTCAGTTTTACCACGTAAGCCTGGAGCAACTTCCTGGACATTAGTTATTTCTGACACACTTTTGAGTAAAGAAGGGAATATTATTGGAGCCCAGGGTCCCATTTATCCATTGAAAATAAAATCTAAGGTACTACATATGAAAGAATATATAGAGTAAGAGAGAGATTATTTTAAAAAGAAAATCAAATTAAGAGTTAAGTAGCAATAGAAGTAGGTAGAATTATTGAGGAAAATGTATAATGGAAAAAATCCTAAATTTAAAATGTGATTCTTTTCATTTTCTAAGTTTGAATGTCTTGCAGTGCTAATCCTACCAATTTGTGTTTGATTGATGTAGAATATTTTCTCTGGGAAACAGGCCAGTGAAGCCCAAAAT